AATAAAAAATAAATAAAGCAAAGCTCACAGTCTAGCAGGGAGACACACAGTAAACAAATAATTAGGTACAGCGTGAGGAGTGCTATAATGAGATGGGGTGTGTGTAAGTGCTTTGTAAACAAATGTGGCATGCAGTGGGCTGGGGGAGGCGAGCCTGCAGTGGACTTTACCCCCACTCCTTCAGGGCCAGGCCGGGACCAGCACCTGCCACCTCCACAGGGGTCGTGGGAGCTGCAGGCTGAGGGTGTCAGAGACCAGGGCCTAGCACAGATCCCCTCCAGGTTTGCATGTGTGTGAGTGTGTGTCTAAGAGGCAGGCAGACTTCAGAATGCTCCCTAGAAGACAGAAAGTAGAGTAGTGGTTACCAGGGACTGAGAGCAGGGGAAATAGGGAGTTTCTGTTTAATGGGGACAGAATTTCCGTTTGGGAATTCTGAAGGATGGTGGTGGTGATTGTACAATGTGCATGTATTTAGTGCCACTAAATTGCATGCTTTTAAATGGTTCAAATGGTAAATTTTATGTCACATATATTTTGCCACAATACTTTTTAGAACTTTTTAAAAAAACAGTCCTTAGGAAAGCGGCCATCCCTGGTCATACCCCTGCTCCTGTCCCAGGGCTGTTCTTAGCCACAGCACTGTTGATGTTTTGGGCTGAGTGACTCTTTGTTGTGGGCACTGGCCTGTGTCTTGTAGGGTGTTCAGCAACATCCCTGGGCCCTACCCACTAGAAGCCACCATTTCCCCCTGCCTCCCACCGCCACCTTAGGGTCACAACCAAAAATGTCTCAGACACATGGTCAGATGTCCTCTGGAGGGCAAAACTGTCCCCAGGTGGGAACCACTGCTCTCACCAGCTTGGAATAAGCTGCTCACAAGAGAGGCTGAGGGTGGGGCAGTGTGCAACAGAAAATCAGGAGGCAATTAGTTGTTGCAGGGTAGAGGGGTCTTCCCTGGAAGGAAGGCAAAGGTCAGCAAATTCTAAGTGACCACAGGAGGTGGTGGGCAGGTCTGGAGACACAGAGTGAAGCCTGTTGGGCACAGTGGGTGGCAGCATCAAGCTGTACTCAAGTCTGTTGCCCCCACTCACCCACCCAAGGGAGAAGTGAGGGGTGCTCACTGCTGCCATTCGCACCCTGCCACCTCTCCTTGCCCTCCCACTTCACCGCAGCCCCACAGGGGCTGAAATTGTCACCTTTGGCTGCTAGGTGGTGCCTTCCAAAAGGGCCAGGGGGCCGCGCTGCTACTCCCTCCTCGCCATCCCCATGGGAAAACTGAGTATCTCAAAGTGTGCTGGTCTCCTTTCAAGGCAACTATAAATATAAAAGCAAACAAAAACAGAATTTTTAACAGTTACACCTGACATGCACGGAATTGGAATTCCCTCTAAGCATGTGGGCTGGTGTTCTCACTCTTAGCCTGGTCTTTGACATTAAGGAATCAACTGTGAGTATCAACTACCTGCCAGGTGCCCTACTCCACACTGAGTCTAATTGGATAAAGCAAAGTGCCTCCAGGAGTGAATAAGCTCATGGTGCCTGGGGAGGGGAGCCGGGTGCAGAGAGGAAAGCGTGGAGGTGGGGGCAGAAGGGGGCAGGCCTGGCTGGGGTAGTCCCTCCTGGTGGCTCCCAGGTAGAGCACCCAGCTCCTCCCCAGAGATTTAGAGATGGGCTTGAGTTCATTTCCCTGTGGACCTCCTTCCTTCCTCTCAGGGGATTTGACCTGCCCAGTTACCCAGGCCCTATGCAGAGGGCCTGAGGGGCACTGCAAGGTCAGGAGTGCTCCTGATAGGTAGGATGGATGAGGGTTGACCACAGTGAGAGTCAGCAGCCCCCTGATCCCAGAGCTTTGGTCGACTCAGGCCCCTCCCAAACCAGACACGGTGGGAAATGGAGAATGGCCTGGCTGGGAAGAGAGGAGGGTATGGACTGGTGGGATTGGGGGCTGGGAGTGCGGAAGTGGGTTTCTCCGTCTGTGCTAAGCCTGGGGCTGGGGCTGGAGCTGGAGCTGCGCAGTATGCGCCCTTTTCCCCATCCGCCAACCTCTGGAACGAGGGTGTGTCTCCTGCTGCTCTGTGCTGGGGTTCTCCAGGGCAGGCCCAGGGAGGATTCCTTGATCGGTGTGGGTTGGCACCTGGGGACTGAGCTTGGTCTCAAAGCAGGTACCCCTGGCACTCTATGCTATGGAGCTGGCAGTCAACAGGAAGTGAGTCCCAGAGTGAGAGGGGCACGTAGTCCCAGGCAGGAAGTGAGTGACAGCTGACTTGTCTCAAGCAGCTTTGTGGGGCTGGGAGCCTGTCTCAACTTGAGATGTGTCTGGGGCAGCCAGTGCCTTGAGGAAAGGAGGACAGGACCATGATAAGAGATTGGCTTTAACCTAAACTTCTCAGCCCGAGTTGACCCGTGGGACCCCTACACCCATCCCCTTGGGAGGGCCGCGTTTGGGACTCCATGATGCCTGGCACAACCAGACTTTGGAGGGGCTGTGGGAGCCCCGGGGGGCCCTATTCTTCAGGCTGCCAGGGCCATCTAACTTCCTCGCACACGTGACTGAACCTTGAGAGGTGAGGGGATTTACACCAGGTTGGGGTGTTCTAGGCCAGGGAGCCCTGTGGGCTTGAGCAGAGAGATGGGAAAGACATCTGAGTCCCAGACAGAGTATGCGGGTCCCGATGTATGGGGGTGGAGGCCGAGGAGAGACATGGCCTCCTTGTTCACCTGTGTTCCTGCGTTTGGTCTCCTGACTCTGCTGACTTCGGCCCCCAGCACCCAAGGCTAGTGTAGGACTTCTTGCTTCCGTCAGAGGCCTCCTCTTCCTCTTGATGTGACACCCTCACACCCAGCTGCTGAGGACTGCACATATTTGCAGCTTTCCACGGGAGCTTCTCTTCCTGGAAGCAGGTCTGCCCCACACTGCCCCACTCAGCCAGGGGAATGGCTTGGCAAGGCCTCGAAAGTTCCCTCTGCTTGCCCTCAGGCTCCTCTGTGTGCCTGGAGCCTTGTCCAGGGAGAACTCTGGTTTTTATTCTTATTTTTTTCCCCTAAGGCTCTCCTCCCTATTTGCCACCTCTGGGTATTCCTCACCAGATGGTATAGTGGGCTCAGAGTAGAGGTCACAGACCCTTGCAGCAACAGGAGCCTTGGAGATCGCCAGGCTGTGCAGGGAGGGACACCAGCGCTCTCTGGCTGTCAGGGTGTACTTGAGTGCTACAACTCTATGGAGGGAATTTGGCAGTATCCATGCACACTTAGGCAGAAAGGCCCGCCCAGCCTGTCCCCTTCTGGGATTCCAGCCTACAGAAATACACAGGTGCAGAGCTGTGAGTGCAAGGGGTTCACTGCAGCAGAAAGCAAATCAGCCCAAAGGCCCACCATTAGGGAAGTGTTTGAATAAATTATGGAGCATCCATTCAATAGAATGTTAGCAGCTGTGAAATAGAATGAGCTCCATATGCACTGGTATGGAGAGATGCCCGCTATGCTTGTTCAGTGAAAAAGCAAGTTGCAGAACACTATGAGTATAGTATGATATCCAGTAGAAAAAAATTTCTGGATCTGGATGCGTGTGTGAATACATATGTATCACCACGTAACTTACACGTGCTTGTAGAGGCATAGAAAACAAGTCCAGAAAAGACACTCAGCAAACTGTTAGCAGTGGCTTACCTGTTGGGCATGAAGGCAGGGAATTAAAATAGGAGCTTGAATCATCACCCTACCTGTTTTTATGTAGTTTGAGTTTTTATAATATATGTATCTGACTTTTGTAAATAGAAGAGAAAGATTTAAAAGGAGAAAACCTCCATTGGCCTAACCTAGAGTGTCACCTTATCAGTGCAGCAACCTAGGCACTGAACTGATCTCACCACACCCTTCCTGGGGGCATTTTGCAGATGGAACTTGAGGACAGGGTTGCTGAGGGCAGCCTGGTGCCTGTGGGCATGGCAGAGTGCTGAGCACTGGGTACACTGCCTCTTCTGCCCCAAGAGAACACCTCCATTCCTTCTTAAGTCTCCTGGCCTACTTGCCCCCAGAAGGCCAAGGGCAAAGTGCTTGCCAGGCTCTCATGTGCTTGCTCTGTCCTTACAAAGTGTGTGACCTCGAACAAATGGCAAAACTCTGTGCAAGCCTCCGCGGGGAGGTTGAGGGGCTCTGGAGGGGTAATGGGTGAGAAGGAGCTTTGCCCACTGGGCAGTGACTTACAGAGGACACTTACGATTATTCTTGATGTGGTTTTATTACCTGGAACTGTAGCAAATTCAGGTCTCAGACTCTTGGGGGACAAAGCAATACATCTACTTTTGGAAGGGGAACGTGAGACCACATGGGAGGGAGGGCTTGCTGCAGAGACCGCAGACTGCTTGCTGGGGCCTCGGCTCTCCAGGGGTCTGAGTCTCTGGAGAAGCAAAACTGAGCAAAAGAATGGTGCTGGGCTTTGGGGCCCAGAGGAATGCTTCTTTAGGAGGCCGCCTTTGACCTCACTCTCCACTTGGCCAGGCAGCTAGTACCTGTTTGGGTCTGAGCCTTGAGAGACCTGGAGGACATGCAAGAGGGCTCTGACACAGAGGTCCGGTCAGCCTGAGGTTACCAGCATTGATCTACTGGCACTAAGCTCTTCTAAGGAGGGGGTCCTGATTTGAAGGGGGGCTAGTGTGAAAAGTAGCTCATTTTAGTAGGGGCCACAGCAAAGGCTTGGAAGCCCTGGGTCACCTCAGTGAGGTGGGGTGGAGGCTGGGCAGTGGAGCCAAGCTGGCAAACCTGCCTGGGTCCTTGTTTCTTAAGCTGGAGTCCATAAACTCCTTGATTTTAAGGGATTAGGCCTGGGAATTCCTTGAAATGAGAACAAAATTGTGGGTGTATTTACTTGCATGAACATTTGTGTGAACACAATTTTCTGGACAGTGGGTGCGTAACTTTCACCAGAACCTCAGAGGGGTCAGTGATCCTGAAGCCGGTGAGACCACTGGTCTAATTCCCCCTTGTACTTCTTCATCTTCTAGGTGGAAAGCAGCGACATGCCAAAGGACCCTGCGGTGACCTCCAAGACCCCAGCCATGGCCCAGGACTCAGGCCCCTCAGAACTGTTGCCCAATGGGGACTTGGAGAAACGGAGTGAGCCCCAGCCAGAGGAGGGGAGCCCTGCTGGGGGGCAGAAGGGCGGGGCCCCAGCAGAGGGAGAGGGTGCAGCTGAGACCCCGCCCGAAGCTTCCAGAGCCGTGGAGAATGGCTGCTGCACCCCCAAGGAGGGTCGAGGAGCAGAAGAGGGTGAGTCCCTGGCACAAGGGGCAGCCTCCTCGGGCTCGCTGGGGTTCCCCTGAGGGTTAGCCTCTTGGGCCTAGGAGTCCCAGGAGACAGGGGCTGGGCACAGTAGCTGAAGGTCTATTTGCCAAGGCTGTGCCCTGGAGGCCACTGGATGGAGCCTGCAAACATGTTTTCCTTGGCCCACAGAGTGTTTTAAACATTTTTTAAAAAGAGTTGCCAGTATTTGAAAAACAAGAAATTTCACATAAAAATCTGGAGTTTTGGCTTCTCATGGGAAAAAAAAAAGCTAGATCTGGCAACAGTGGATTTGCAGAACACCAGCAGTTGCTGGATTAGGGTCATGGCTGTTCCCCCATAGGCTGGTTGTGCATCTCAGCTGCCCTCTGCCCCCACCCGGCCTACTTACTCTTCTACCAACTGTGGCTCTTGGGAATCATTGGCTCCGTAGCCCTGGCCTGGTGCTCAGGCGCAGGAGATGCCCTCGTGGGTGTGAAAAGCCCAGTTCGCCTTCCCCAGAGCAGGTGTCCCGAGCCCACCACCCCAGCTTAGTTGACTCCACTAAAATCAGGTGGTGACAGAGTGGGGCAGGGGAGGGGTGGGGTGGCAGGTGCCCAGCCCAGGCTTCCTCTGGGGACTTTTTGGCCTAGCTCTGGAGTCCTGGAAAGTTGCCGGCTTTTCTCTTTCAGGTTAAGCCAACGATTTCAGGGCCAACTAAGCTGTAAACATGTTAGTAATGAGGACAACTAGCATTTGTACAGGGCTTCACAGTTTACAAAGCACTTTCTTACACATTATCACATTGGATGCTCCCAGGGCCAGGTTGTTTTGCATATGTGCATTTTAATTTCAAAGCCTTCCTTCCAAGAGTGCATGGTAGGCTGAGTCAATTGATTAATTGGCACGACTTATTTCGCATGGATCCAAACCTAATATGCACGCAGGATTGAGAGCATCTCCACAAAAGAGATCTCCAAATTTATTTTAAAATATCTTTCATTCAACTAATATTTACAATGCTCCCACTACATGCAAAGCAGTTTCTGGAGTACTCTGTATTTGTTGTTTTACTCCTCCAATCTTTTTCAAGAGGTATCATTATCCCATTTTAAGGTAGAAGAAAAGTGAGACTATGCAAGAAGTGAATTATTCAGGGGCCCCAAGCCTTTAGGTGGCAGATCCAGGATTCAATCCATCTTGGTCTCTGGCTTCAAACTTGGTGCCCTTCGACTATCCCTTTTTATTCTGCACTAGGGCTCAGGGCAGGCTGGCCCTGAACTGTCCAGGCTTTTAGCCTCGTAGGAATGCCTCCTGGGACGTGTCCTGACACTTGGTGGGAGGGCTCAAGGGGCCTGGGTGGAGTGAAACAGAGGAGGAAAGGGAGAAGATGCTATCCCTCCCACTGAAAAGGCCAGGCATGCAAGAGGAGAAACTGGGAACCCTTCAGTCTTTCCCACCAAACGTGCTGCCCACCCTAGGTGGGTCTCGGCTGACTCCCAGGTTCCTGGGATCCCACACAACTGGCACCCAGCTGCTTCCCAGGGCCAGGGCAGCCCTTCCTGCCTGGTGGGATGCAGCCATAGCTCCAAGGCTGCTCTTAACCCTTGAGGGCTTGCTTTTGGTGTAGGATTTCCCTGTCTCGATTTCTATCTGTTCTTGGGCGCTCCTTCAGTCAGTTAATAAGTGTTCATTTGGTGTGTGCCAGGATCTGGGGAGACCATCATGAACAAAACCTGGTTCTGGCCCTCAAGAACTTCACAGTTGGGCTGGACAGGTAGACATTACTGAGAAATCCATACTTAAAAGTGTGGATTATACATGGAGATAAGTTCTCTAAGGGAAAATGAGAATGGTTCTCTAAGGTGCTATTGCAGAGGCCCACCAGCAGGCCTGGGCTGTGGCATCTAAGCTGAAGAATAAACAAGGGCTCACTGGGAAGGGGGTGGGGGGTGCAGGGAGGGAGCAAGATCAGGCAGAAAGGCTCCCAGATGGGAGGCTGCAGGGCCCCCAGGGCCCTGACAGATGCCCACAAGACTAGAGTTAGAGAAAGCAAGGGAGAAAGGTGTGAGACAAGGAGAGAGAAGACAGGGCCCAGGCGGGCATTTGAGGCCACCTTCCAGTGGGTGACATGATCCAATTTGTGCTTTGAAAAGGTCACTTTGCTGTCTGGATCCTGGGATGACAGAGGGGCTGGGAAGCTGGATGAGCAGTTAGGAGGCTACTGCGGCCACGTGGCTCTGATGTGGGGCGGCAGCAGAGATGGAGAGAAGTGGATGAGTGCCAGGGACATGAGGGGGAAATGGTGTCATGGGTGACTCCTGTGTTTGGGGCTTGTACACGGTGGATGGATCTTCCTCAGAATCTTAGTGCTGAACATGGCAAAAATGCTCCAAATCTCCTTGATCTCCACATTTTGACCCTGGAGCATTCCTGTGTGGCCACAGTGATCCAGAAAGTAGACATGCTGGCAGGGAGCAGAGCTGGTGGGATGCCTGAAGACCACTGTGAATTGCCTGGTTGCTGAGATTGGTGAGGTGTTCCCAGAGGGCTGGGCAGTGAGTGGCCAGCCACACAGAACATATATATACTCAGCTGCTTGGTTCCAAGGAGGAGGGAGGCTAAGGCCCCAGGGAGGAAGTGAGTTGGCCATAGTCTCCTTCCATTCCCCTCCATTCCAGGTCTTTTTGCAGAGGGCCCCATCCATTACTTCTGGAACTCCTTTTCTTATACAGAAAAACAGAGGACTTCAAGGCACCATTCCAGTGGCCTGGGCACCCTCCTGTGTGCATGTAGGTGCCCTGCATCCTACTTGTATAGCCAGGAGAAGGAAGGAAAAACAGGGGAGATGATGAGTCATAAGGACAGGAGCCACCTGGACAGACAGGTGGTGGCCCTGGGACTGCTCCTACACTCCTAGTATTAACACCATCATGATGGGGTAGTAATGATGGTAATGGGGTTTTCTTTTTATGCATATTGGCCATGTGTTGAGTGTTCAATCTCCTCAATAGTCCAAGTGGTCCATGGACCAGCAGTGCTACCTGGCATCCCCTTGGAAGTTAGAAATGCAGGATTTCCTACCCTAGATGTACTGAATCAAAACCTACATTTTAAAGCGATCTTCATACTTTTGATGTGACTGAGGTTTGAGAAGCCCTGCTCTTAATGTATTTTCTTGTTTAACCTCTGTGATTATGTGAGGAGCTCTTATTATTCCTATTCTTCAGGTGAGGAGATTAAGGGTTCAGGGAGGTGAAATTATTTACCCAAGGGTTTATAGCTAGTAAAGGACTGGATTAGGATCAGGGCAAAGCCCCTCTCTGCTCAGGCAGAACACCAGTATTGGGCTGGTTACTGCCCTCAGGCAAGCCTGGCCTCAGACCTATCACTGAGATTTGGGTTTGTTTTAAAGGGAATTTGGGGTAGCCTCTGGCTGAGTATAGTCTTAGATCAACAGGTAAGTTGGTCTAAGCACCCTGGCCTCCCCTGCCTCCAGGACCTGAGATGCCCTTACGGTTATGTCTGAGCCTGCCAGGGCCACCCTGCAAGGCACACAGCCACCTGGCCCTGCCTGTGACCCTGGGTCTGGGCCAGGAGCAGATGGACTGCAGAGGGAGTGTTGAGAGAGCAGCTGACCCTCCTTGACTCAGAACAAGTGCCGCCTTCTGGGGCAGCCCAGTTTGTTGTTTTGCTGGGCCAGGCTGTAAAGTGTGCGATGTCACTCTAGTGGGCATGCGCAGAGTGTGTCAGGGAGAAAATACCAGAAAGAAGCCAGCTGGAAACTGCCTGAGGAAAGGCGATCCTATTTGGGGGAGATGGGGGCCGGGGAATAGGGGAGCATCGGTGCTGTGGTCTAAAGTGAGCCTGTTTAGGAGTCAGGAGCCCTGAAATCTTACCTCAGCTCTGGCAGTTAAGTCACTCCACTCCCCTGGTGCCTCAGTTTCCCCACTGGCAAAATCTAAAGGCTGGACAAATACTCCCTCATCTCTACAATTCCTTTCAACCCTGATTTACCTTCGTTTTAATGAATAAGTGATTCCCCATAATCAAATGCCACGGAGGGTCTCCGGTAGGAAACTTTTGAGGTCCAAGGGACCTCGGGCCGCAGCCTGATCCGGGGGCGGGCGCCCCCTTCTGGCAGCCCAGCGCCGCTCGTGGGGCAGTTCTGAGGGGAGGAAGGGGGACCCCCGGCGGGCGGGAGGGGGACCCGGCTCCAGGGGCTTGAGAAAAAGTTGGGGAGCTGGCTGTGTTGAGACGGTAGGGCCTAACGGCAGCACCGAGGAAGAGGCAGAAGGTCGGGTGAGACACACCGTAAATGCCTGTTGTGTCCCCGATTAGTGAGCACGACGCGCACGCCGGCGCCTGCGCTCACGCCGCCCCGTCCCATGCGCCCCGCGGTGGCCCCGGCGACCGCGCAGCCCGCCCCCTGCCAGTGCTGGCAACTGCCTCCCTCCTTCCCCAGGGCTCGGTGGGGTCGCTGTAACCCAGACCTGCCCTGGCCCGGGGGCGGATGCGAAGAGCCCCAGGGCACCTCTGGTGGGAGAGGGTAAGAAACATCCCTTGGGGGCCTGGGGAGTCAGAGGCCTTCGGTGCTGTGTCTGATTTCCGCTTTAGAGCCAGGAGATGAAATACCGGCTGTTTTTTCCGCTTTTGGCTTTTTGTCTCCCTCCCCCGCCCCCCCCCGCCCCCCTCCGCAGCGTTAGTGACCTTCCTGCTTTGGACCCAAGCTCAATACTCCTGGCTTCAGAGAAAGTTCAGGGGCCCAGGTGAGAGGAGGGCTTAGTCCCTCTTGTAGGAAGCCCAAGAAAGGCATAATTAGCCCAACCCCACAGCCAGGAGCAGGGCAACTGCTGGGTGTGCTGCGTCTGAGAAGGGCAGCGGGCAGGTGGGGACCCGAGTGGGAGCCCAGGGATAACCCGGAGGACTGTGGCTGCCCTCCTGCAGGTCGGTAGGATGGGGAGAGGGTGAGGCTCTCCTACAGACAGAACTGCTGGAGCTCCTGCCCCCAGGGAGGCCGTCCCTGCCATGAACTGGAATTGGGGTCCAGGTGAAGAACTGCGCTGAAGAGGAGCAGGGAAATGCGTTTGGGAAGGAGAACAAAACTACTGTTACTGAGCACCTACTATGTGTCAAGCCCTGAACTAGGCATTAATGTTTCCAATAACCTAAGGATTTTAGAACAGTTAACTACCTTGATTCAGTGAGGAGACAGTTAGGAGAGGTTATATAGGTCATGGAGATAGCTGGAATCCAAGTCTTCTAGAATATAGGGCTGAGTTCAGGGACCTGAGATGAGAATGGTGTGGAAAATGAAGGTACTGAGGCAGATATTAGTATCAGAACCATAATACTGAGAACTGCAGGAGGACCTTAGAAATCATCTTCAGCCATCTTTATGTTCCAGGTTAGCAGACTCAGTCTCATAGACATGAAGCTGCTTCCCTAGAGTCGTACTCCAGTTGCCCTGTGCCCCCCACCTCCCAGGGCATCTGTGCCATACCCCACACATAGAAGCAAACGCTCCCTTCCAAGGCTGGGGGAGGCTGTGCAGGTGGACGTTTTCTCTCTCAACTCTGTTGACTGGGAAGATCTGAATGGGGCAATTTCTAGGCCACCCCTTCTGTGTACCCGAGACAGAGTCAACAGGCCAGAAACCATGGTCCTGGCTTTTCCGTTGTTTTCTCGGATCTGGGCCTTCCACCCTTACCCAGTTCCTTCTCTGCTCTAGGCTGTGCTCTGAGTCTTTGGGGCCATGGTAGGCCATCAGTTTAACACCCAGGCACAAGGTGGGGCCTCTGAGCCTCTCCTGTTAACTCTGCCGACAGCCCCTTTGTTCTTCCCTCTCCACAGGCAAAGAACCGAAGGAGACCAACATCGAATCCATGAAAATGGAGGCAAGTGTTTTTCTCAATCCCCAGGGGCTCTGTGGATCCTGGTTCTAGAAGAAAGCCCCTGCTCTGACCGTCTGTGGCCAGTGTGTGTGAGGGGAGCCTGAGGGGGCCTCTGCCCCCTTCCTTACGCATCCCTCTGTGAGGAGGAGAGGAGAGGGTGTGGAGTTGGAAGGCCCCCAACCAGGCAGCCAGTTGGTCGCCTCAGAGAGCAAGCCCCTCCCTTGTGGCTAATAGCCACGTGCCCCTCCCCACCCCTCACTTGTCCAGCCCAGTCAGGGGCTGTCCAGCACTCAGGGGGTTGCTGTCTGTGGCCAGGAGCCAGAGCTCCTGTGCCCTGCTTGAGGTGAGTGCCTCCTTAGTTTCCCTCCAGGAGGAACCAGCCCTACAGTGGGACTGTCAGGGCCTATGTTAATGTCAGTCTGTCTCTCTGTCCTAGGGCTCCCGGGGCCGGCTGCGGGGTGGCTTGGGCTGGGAGTCCAGCCTCCGCCAGCGGCCCATGCCGCGGCTCACCTTCCAGGCGGGGGACCCCTACTACATCAGCAAGCGCAAGCGGGACGAGTGGCTGGCACGCTGGAAAAGGGAGGTGAGGTGCCTTCTGGAATGGGTCCAGCCAGTCCCACAGAATTGGGAAACCAGATGTTAGGCTGCAGCCACCCTCTGGGCTGTTGTCAGGCCCTAGCCAAGCCTCAGTTTCCCCTTCAGGTTAACCTCTCACCTTACAGGGAACTGCTTAATCCCTATAGGGGCAGCAAATGTTTGCTGATTACTTACTGTGTACCAGGCAATGTGCTAGGCTCTGTGCATATATAATTCCTGCCTTTGTGGAGTTGACATTCTGATGGGGGAGAGAGAAAACAAGTAAACAAGGAGCTGAAATAGAGGGTAACAGAGGCCTGCTTCAGGTGGGGTAGTCAGGAGAGGCTTCTTGGAGGAGGTTCTAGGCAGAGGACCCAACACAAACAAAGCCACTTATTGGCAGAGTGAAAGACCAGAATGCCCTCAGCAAAATGAGCAAGGGAGAAAGTGGGGCCATGAGGCTGGGAGATAAGCAGGGATCCAGTCTTACAGGGCCTTGTGGGCCCTGCTGGAAAGCTGCTATAATGCTGAGTACACCGAGCAGCCACTGAAGGGCTTCTGTGCAGAGGAATGATTTGATAAGGATTAAAGGGGCAGCAATGGATACAGGACAGATTCATGATGTATTTTGGGCTTTGTCATGGAAGGGAGGGGTGAGGGAAGTAGGCAGTGGAAGCACTCAAGGACAACTCCCAGGGGTCTCACCTGAACTCCCAGGTAATGGTTGTGACATGTCCCCAATGGGGAAGAGTAGGGGAGCAACAGGTTTGGCACAGGTGAGAATCAAGTGTTCGGCTTGAGAAGCTGGGGTGCCTGGAGGCTGGGACATAGGGAGGTCAAGCTGCAGATACAAAGGTGGGAGGGTGCAAGAGCAGAAGCTGGCATTTAAGCCCATGAAACTGATAAGCTCACCTAGGAGACAGGGTGAGAGCTCAGAGATTGAGTCCCAGGATTGCATCTGCAGAAACATTTATGGGCTGCATAGAGAGGAAGAATGGCAGGCAGAGGGGACTGAGAAGGTGCCTGGGAGGAAGCTGAGGGGAGAAGAGCCGAGTCTCAGGAGGTTTTCTGGACAGTGGCGGCCCAGCCTTGCAGAAGATGAATTCGTTGAGACATGCCCATTGCAGCTGATTACCTGAGCTGGTGACTTTTCTAAGAGAAGTTTCTGTGGGAGGTCACCAGGGTGGATGGTAGCCAGGTGGTGGAGGCAGTGGATGCTGAACGACCAAGAGCGAAACCAGCCCACCACCCAGAGTTTGTGGGGCTGCTCTCCCGTGTATTTGATCAGTCGAAAGAAGCCGGGGTGACCTCCTGGGATGTTCCACCACCTGGGGCATTTCACCATCGCTCCCACTTTGTCTTTACCCGGCTCCCCAAGGAAGGCCCTCTGCCCATTCACACTGTGTGGAAGCTTTGCTCCAGAACAAGGTGGGGGCTCGGCTGTTTGATAGTTTGCAGTTCCTTCAGGATCCAGGAAGGCAGGAATTTCTCTCCTGGAAGAGCCTGGAAAAGGGCAGCCTGGCCAGGATCTGGGAGAAGAGAAGCACTTGACCCTGAGCCTAAGTGTGCTCTTTGGGATGGAAATTTGGAGCTGGGACTATTCTCACCATCTGGACAGTTGCCCACTCCTCTGCCCTCTGGCACTGGTGGGAGGAGCTTTGCGTTGTAACCCCCTGTTAGGTGTGGTGCTGTGTTTCTGCTCTCCCTAACCCTGGGGCCAGAAACTTGGACACAGTGACTTTTAGACCTAGAAGCTCTTCTGTAAATTCTGTGGTTCTCAAACTGTGCTCCCTCCCTTGAAGGAGGAGTATGGAGGCTTGCCCTTAGCTACAATAAAAAAGGGGATCTTTTCTTAACTCATAGGAAAAATTAACATAATAGGTACATTTTCTCAATCTTAAGTTTTCTACTAAAATTTACAAAGACTTTTTTACTATGAACCTCTTGCAGTTTATTTAAATTAAATTATAAATTTAATTTATAAAAATAAATATAAAATACAAATTAATTTATGAAAAATATTTAATTTAAAATATTTTAGGTATGTGTGACTTGGGATGTAAAGATCTATAAACAAATATAGTTTCTGCTGGCGAAACTGTTCCTGATTCAGGTGAGACGAGTAAAGATGTCGGTAAAGAATTCCATGACTTGAGTCCAAGCATTAGAACCGTTCGTTGATCCCCTCATTTCAGACTGGGGGACTGGCGCTGCAGAGCTGTTTGCTGGCAGCAAACTCAGGCAGCAAACAGGGGATGGGCAGGAATGGGGTTAGAATTCAGGCTTCCTACTGCCACAAGGAGCCTAGCCTCAGTGCCAACCCTCCCCCTTTGGGCTCTGCCAGAGGGCAGGCTGCAGGTAACAAGGACGCTGGGGAGATAGGTAGCTTTCAAGACTCCCAAGTTTTCCTCAGACTAAAGACTAGCACTGTAGCCATGCGACCTGTTGTCTGAGTGACTCACTAGGGGTAAGGACATCCTTACCCTTGAGACTCCTCTTCTGTCTCATCTCAGTTCTCTGGCCTTTGACCATGTCTTCTAAAAGTGCCTCCCTAGGGCCTCCTCAGCTGGCCCCTGAGATTCTTCCCCATTTCTTCCAGCTGCATCTCCTTAGCATCCTCCTCTGACCCTTAGCTGTGGCATCCCCAGGCCTCTGCCCCCACTCTCTGCCAGTCTTGATCCTCTTACCACTTACATGCCCTCCTCCCCAAAAAGACCTCCCCTCTTGCCCAACCTTAGTTCCAGTTGTTTTCCAGGCAGTGTCACTCAAAGGTACAGACAGCATTGCCTAACCTCAGAATTCCACACCTGCTCTTTGAAAGTTCCCACAGGCCACCATTACTGAGCTGACTACCAGAACCTTCTGTGTCTGTGCACTGTATAAGATACTGGGGCTGCTGGGAGTCTAGAAGGTTCGTACTTCTCCCTTGATAGGATGAGAGCTTGGGACCACCTCAGGAAAGCCATTGCTCTGAGGGGCTGCGGCTGTTCTGCCTGGGGTCATCCACAGATCAGCAAGGTGTGGCTTTTGGCTTTTTAAAGAAGGAACTGAAATTTAGGAAAAGGGGAGGAAAGGCATTGCCAAAAGAGGTGTACATCATGTGCAGAGGTCCTGAGGCACAAGGCAGCATGGCATGGGATGGCCGTTTGTGGTGATGGAGCGCAGAGTTCCGGGCCTGAGAGCAGGGGGAATGTGACCAAGAAGGTAGGCAGGACCAAAGCAGGGCCCGGGGCTTGTGTGCGCTGCTGTGGGGCTTCCACCAGCCCCTAATCTGCACCTGGCCCACAAGCCACCTGTGGGGCCTTCTTCCCTTAAAATTCCTCCTTGGCTTACTTTCTCTTTCCTATAACCACCCTTGTCAATCCATCCAGTTATTGAGTCAGGTCTGCTGTTTACTTCTCTGTCCATCTGAGATTGCCTACCCACCAAAAAGAATTTTTTTAAGAAGACTTAGAATATCACAAAGTGAGTGGAATTTAAAATACCAAGTTGAGGACAATGGGCCCTTTCCTCCTTCCCTGAGACCACAGTGGGAATTCCTGCTGGGACTGGGAGCTGTGGTCTTGTCTGGCCCATCTCCTGTTCCCTTCACTGCCTTACTAATCCTTTTAAGGATTAAGCTCTGCTTTCATATGAGCAGGCCCTGCAATACAGCCTACAGTGGCTCACCATTGTCTGCCTATCATGCCAGATATCTCCTGGCTGTTTCTCAAGGCTTCAACCCTCACTGTGACCTCGGTAATCATCCTACCCCACTTAACTACCATTGTCTAATTGGAAGGACCCCTGTGAGGGACCAGTCTCCATTATATTTGTCACGCCCCTACCTTCCTCCCTGGCTTTGTTCCCGCTGTGCTCTCCCCTATCCATTCCTCAGGGTTGAGTCCAAGAGCTGCCTCCTCCTCCAGGAAGCTCCTCAGGATTTCTCCAGTCCACAATGACCTATTCCTTTCTCTGCACTCCTGTAGCCCTTACTGTTAATATTGTTGGATTTAGCACCTAATTATATTTCATAGAGTATTTTCACTATTTTTTATGTGTTAATCATGTCTGTCCCCATTTGCCCAGCCTGGTATTGGGTAGGGAGAATAGGCTTGATAAAAACCCATTGGTTGACTAAATAGTTGGGAGGCTGGTGAATGTAGTACCCCTCTCAGGAAGCTCGTGACCTTGGATTTCCACCTTGAGGGCCAAGTCCTTGGTTTCCAGGTGTATTTTTCAGGGATGCTGACAGGTATGCCTGGAGAACAGCATGAGGCCAGGGAACCTGTGTGGGCATGCTCCCATGGGCAGGATGGTGCCCCGACTTTCTCTACCCTGCACTGCTGCTCTTCCCATTGGGCCTTTGCTGTCCTTGAGCCGAGAACCTTCCCTGGCCTGGCAGAGCTGGCCCAGGAGCAGCTGGTGGGGAGGGCAGAGATGCAGCAATTCCTCCTCCCCAAGGAGGGCAAGTCCTGGCTCCTCTTTCTAGTAATTACTGGAACAAAATGATCTGAGGGAGTACTTGGGGTTAGGAAGGGTTTCTCACGTGTGTGATTTCATTGGTCCTGGCCACTGAGAGGCAGAAGGGGCGCAGAGGCCTTGTCCAGCAGCTGGAACAGTCATCCAGCCAGAAAGGCTGCAGCCCCAGTTTGTGTCACTGCGTATGCTTTCAGGACTCTGTTATAGCTGGGTGATATGGCTCTCTCACTAATCTCTTTACCCTACCTGATTCTAAATTATTTCAAGGCAAGGATATCATGTCCTGCTGACCTGAGATCTGGCTTCTTTCCGGGCTCCCAGCCTGAAGCAAGGGACTCATGCATTCTTACACTTACTGGATGCCTAAACCATATTCTAGAGTGGTGATAATAAGTAATTTGTGGTCCAAACAGAGTCTCTGTTCCCCTCCCCTCCCACTCCTACACTCAGATACCTCCCTTCCCCTTGCCCCAGGCTGCCCAAGGGGTAGCACAGCCTTCACATTCCCGAAGGGAAGGGTGCCTTTGGAGGAGTTCACATGCTGAC